GTAGGTAGCTAACCCAGAAGTACCTTGGAGTAATTTAGGCTTAATAATAAACTAGGGTTTGCAAGAAAATTTTATTCTGTGGTGATTTGGGGCTATTAACAGTGTTCTAGGCCTAGGGTTAAAGATGCTTAATGTCCTTAGAGGCTAATGAGGGGATGAATGAGTCAACAGATAGGACAAGTATATGACAGAGGTGACGTGCCTATGTGTTGAGGGGGAGGAACTCTTCACCTCTGCTGCTTCCTGGATGAGGAGATGGGGAGATGTTCCAGAGGACAGCACCGACAAAGGTCTAGTGCTCAGACTGCAGGTCATATCAGGGAACTTGAAACACTAAATTAGTTTGGTGGAGCTTTGAGGGCAGTGGTGAGAGATTCTCTTTGGTCTGCCTCTGTCAATAGTAGGGATAGTCCTTTCTTGTCCCCTGTCACAGCTGAAGCAGAGATGTCAATCTCAAAACAATTCAAATCTTAAAGAGCTTTCCACATGAACTACAATATCTTTACTGTTTTAAATTTGAGTTTAAATAAGCTTTGAAACTTCACGTGAAGTGGGGCATTTTAAAACATACATCTACCGATCAAGGTTTGTCAACTTTGGAGGATTCAAATTATAGCCAGATGACTTAAAAATCAAGCTAGTTAAAAAAAAAAGTATAGCCTAAAACAGATTATATGTGAGGGAGAAATCCTTTGCTTTTGTTACAGAGCACTTCTAACTGTTCCCAGCAATGCATTGAATCTGCTATTGCAGTCTTTTTTTTTTAAAAAACTGGTTGTCATTAGTGGGAGCTGTTATCTGGTAAGACAAACCAGAATAAAGAATTATAAGCTTCATGGAATTGCAGAGTTAAACTATTTTAACCGGTTGAATTGTGATAGAAAAGATGGCTTCTTGCTTTTTGAAAAGATTACTTACATAACCGATAGTCACTTCACTCCAAATCCCAGATGTTAATCATCATCATTTCCTGGTTATTGCCTCAGTTTGAGAACCCCCGATTCAGTCCGTTGGTGGTGATGGAGGGGTTAGATGACCAAAGTGGTAGCTTCTTAATCCTACATCACAATTCAGTGGTGACTGTGTGCTCAGTGGGTGCCAGGCCTGGCTGAACACAGCACCAGGGCTGTGACAGCGTAAGCATCTATGGTGAAGAGGAGCTGGTGACAAAGCAATACGAAACCACACGTACTGTTCTGGCTTGGTGTCTGCTGTCCCCAGCTTTTTTCCAACCTTCATTACAAAAACCTAAACCAACAGAAATGCGGAATTGGTAGTTTGGCCTATCTGTCTATCCAGTGTCTGCGTTCAGCAGTTTTTCCCATTTAGTCAGATTGCATCTACTTTTTTGGTGAACACTTGAAAATACGTTGCAAACATCATGATGCTTCAACCGTAAGCACTATAATGGCATGCATTTCCTAAATAAGGATATTCTCCTGTGTACTTAGAACCATGATCACTCCTAAGAAAATTAACAGCATTGTCAGTATCTAATATTTAGTCCACGTTCAAATTTCTCCTATTGTCTATGACATCTTATAGCTGGTTTGTAAAATCAGAACTCAACCAAGGCCCATGCTTTGTATTGGATTGTCTCTGTGGTCTTAAGCCAGACCAGTCTCCCACTTTAAAGAGGACTTTTCTGATTGTGTTGCCACTTAACTTGGACCTTTATTCCCCGTATTTGCTGAAAACTGGAATGGAGGTCTCAGGGCCTGAAGAGATTCAAGTTAAACATTTTTTTTTTTTTTTTGAGACGGAGTCTCGCTGTGTCGCCCAGGCTGGAGTGCGGTGGCGCGATCTTGGCTCACTGCAAGCTCTGCCTCCCGGGTTCACACCATTCTCCTACCTCAGCCTCCTAAGTAGCTGGGACTATAGGCGCATGCCACCACGTCCAGCTAATTTTTTGTATTTTTAGTAGATACGGGGTTTCACCATGTTAGCCAGGATGGTCTCTATCTCCTGACCTCGTGACCCCCCACCTCGGCCTCCCAAAGTGCTGGGATTACAGGCGTGAGCCACCGCGCCCGGCCAACTTAAATATTTTTGGCAAGAGTACTTCATAGGCCACCCTCAAAATTTCAGCCTCTCTCATACCAAGGATCTATCACAAGGCAGCATGTATCTACATCTCCACCCCAGTGCTGTTACAACGGGACGGTTTCTAGTGTCTCGTCATTGCGACCAGGCTCTTAAGATTCTTAGCATATCTGTAATATCCTCATGCAGATGTAGAACTCCAAATCGTATTTGCAGAGAACTCTGCATGGCAACTTTTATATGGTGGTGATACATTCAATTTCTTACATTCTAGATCATTCAGGGAGGTTCTGGCGTTGGACAGATTTGGGGTTAAGCTTGGTGGCTAGCTGTGTGACCTTACACACTTCCCTTCATCTGTGTCCTATGGGAATTTATAATAGTAGCTACTTCGTAGGGCATAGGATCTGGCCCAGGGGAAGTCTTCAGTGTTAGTGGAATCTTCAATGATTTTAGCAGCTGTTGTGATCATAAAACCAGAAGCACATCAACCTGAGCCTCCCTCTTTTTAGGAGGACCACTCTCTGTGGCACCCTGGACTACCTGCCCCCCGAAATGATTGAAGGTCGGATGCATGATGAGAAGGTGGATCTCTGGAGCCTTGGAGTTCTTTGCTATGAGTTTTTAGTTGGGAAGCCTCCTTTTGAGGCAAACACATACCAAGAGACCTATAGAAGAATATCCCGGGTAAGATGCAACTGAAAAGGACCCAGCGCGTCTGCTGGAATTCTTTCCTGATCAGCCTGAACTTCAGGCCAAGATCTGAATATCTGTACTGTTTGATCTCTCTAACCTGTGTTTTGTGATGTTTTATCATTTGTTGTACTCCAGGTTGAATTCACATTCCCTGATTTTGTAACAGAGGGAGCCAGGGACCTCATTTCAAGACTGTTGAAGCATAATCCCAGCCAGAGGCCAATGCTCAGAGAAGTACTTGAACACCCCTGGATCACAGCAAATTCATCAAAACCATCAAATTGCCAAAACAAAGAGTCAACGAGCAAACAGTCTTAGGAATCGTGCAGGGGGAGAAATCCTTGAGCCAGGGCTGCTGTAGAACTTACCAGGAACATGCTACTGAAGTTTATTTTACCATTGTCTGCTGCCCTCAATCTAGAACGCTACAAGAAATACTTGTTTTACTGAGCAGGTGTGCCTTAACCTCCCTATTCAGAAAGCTCCACATCAATAAACATGACACTCTGCAGTGAAAGTAGCCACGAGAATTGTGCTACTTACACTGATTCATAATCTGGAGGCAAGGTTCGACTGCAGCCGCCCCGTCAGCCTGTGCCAGGCATGGTGTCCCCACAGGAGGCAAATCCAGAGTCTGGCTGTGGGGAAAGTGACCACTTTGCCTGACCCGATCAGTTAAGGAGCTGTGCAATAACCTTCTGAGTCCCTGAGTGAGTGTGTAACTTATTGGGTTGGCCACGCCTGGTAAAGCTGTTGGAATGAGTATGTGATTCTTTTTAAGTATGAAAATAAAGATATTTGTACAGACGTGTATTTTTTCTCTGGTGGCATTCCCTTAGGAATGCTCTGTGTCTGTCCAGCACCCTGGTAGGCCTGATTGGGTTTCTAGTCCTCCTTAACCACTTATTTCCCATATGAGAGTGTGTAAAATAGGAACATGTGCTCTACCTCCATTTAGAGACTTGCTTGGGATACAGAAGAGGCCGTGTGTCTCAGAGCTGTTAAGGGCTTATTTTTTTTTAAAACATTGGAGTCATGGCATGTGTGTAAGCTTTAAATATGCAAATAAATAAGTATCTGTGTCTGTGTGGAGTACTGTGTAATTCTTTCCACCATCTGTTCATTGTTGGCCTGGAAATGAGCAGGGGCAGAGAGGAGCAGGTCTCGCCCTCTTCTAGTCCTGCCTCTTCTGGTATCTCCTGTTGGGCGTACTCCTAATACTTCGTTATATATAGTGTTTATATGTTTGCCGTCTGTCCATCGACTAAAGATACAGTGAAAGTGACCGTGATGAAGGAAAAGTAGAAGTGCTGAACTTAGAGCCAGTAGAGAAATCTGCTTGCACGGCCAATGCTCAGTGCAAGAAACTGGACAGCAGGTATATCAGGATATATCGTAACCAAGTGGCCAACATAGAGAAACTTAAAAACACGACTGAGTAAAATTGCAGTTGCCAGCCCTCTTGGGACAAAGGAGTCTTGAGCTGAACTGACTTTGACATTCCCAAATAGTTCTTGTGCCACCCTCCCAAGCTATAGTTACTACCACGTGACTAACTTCCCCAGTGTTACCAGTGAGACTTGGGATGTTTCCGCAGACAATCCCATACAAGCAAAGAAAAGCTCGTTGGAGTAGCACATTAATACACTGGTCACAGTGCCACTTCATCAACAACCATGGCTTACCAGAAGGAATATTAAAAAGTTCATAAAGATGTTTCACAGAATTTAAGCTGCTCAGTTTGTCAGATAAATTAGAGAAACAATGGCTTTCATTTTTAAAATAGATCAGTTTTATTCTGCTAGTTCCATAAGAACAATGTAAACACAAGTGTTCTGTACATCTTGCTGGTGAATTCACATAATGCTTAGTTCCCTGATCCTTTGACCTCCTCGTCCTCAGTTATTTTCTGTTTGGACCACCGGCCACAGGAGTGGAGTGGGGTTGGGGCTTAGGAGAGAGCAATGTGGCTTTTTGGTATGACTTGTTTTATTGCTTGCCCTCTCAGCACACTCCTGTTACTCCTAACACAAAGTTTGAGATTTAAGCCCTTAAACCTGTAGGTTTCATCATCAGCTTTTGCATTTTTTTTTTTTTGCATAGGTATTACTAGGGACGTGAATGGGAAACTAGTACAGAAAGTGGTGAGCCGAAGCCAACAAATTGCTTTAAACACAAGATGAAAATGCTCTGTTCTGTCCACACAAAGAATCATCTAATACTGGTGTGAGGCATCTCACTTAGCTGTGGAGAAGTCCTTGGAATTAGATCTCAGACAGTTCCAGCTTTAAGACAGTAAAACCTTTTGGCAATGGGCTAATTGCCTTAAAGGAAAGAAGAGTTCTACTTGAAAGACCTTGCAGGTGGAGAAACTGTCCTACAAAGATTCTTGGAAATGTTAGTGGAGATAACTGACATGGGTAGGTGTGGGCCAACCAGGAACTGTCAACAGCCTGATCTCAGCAAAACCAGGACAGCCAGTTAATAGTTCCTTCAGTTCTCTGATGGTCACAAATGTAATTTTATTTAGCCTTGTAGAAGTTCTGCAACAAATGTAATTTTAAAGGAATTGGGAGCCAGAAAGATAAATGCAACTCCTTCAACTATGTGACAGGGCAGACTGGTTAATCTGGGTTCCCGGAATGTGGAGCAAGTGCTCTGCATCAGAGAATGGCCCAGGGGGAACGTGCATGATGCCGAACCTCACAGGACAGAATTACTTCAATCGCCTGCTCCTGACTACTGTAAGGAGGAAGTCTCAGTGTCTCAGTTTGGATCTACGCTTGGATTTCTTTCTTTCTTTTGGAGACAGAGTCTCCCTCTGTCACCCAGGCTGGAGTGCAGTGGTGTGATCTTGGCTCACTGCAACCTCCACCTCCTGGGTTCAAACAATTCTGCCTCAGCCTCCCCAGTAGCTGGGACTACAGGCGTGTGCCACCATGCCCGACTAACTTTTGTATTTATAGTAGAGACGGGGTTTCACCATGTTGGTCAGGCTGGTCTCGAACTCCTGGCCTCAAGTGACCCGCCTGCCTCCACCTCCCAAAGTGCTGGGATTACAGGCGTAAACCACTGCCTCTATGCTTGAATTTCTACTCTTAGCTAATCTCTCTAACATACATGCCCTTCATTGGGTAAAGCTGGCTCAGTAGACTAATTACACCTGCCGTGTAATACAAGACCCTCCCTGGCTTGTATTATCTCATAGTTGCCTTCCATTTGTGACAAGTGCCACGAATATTCCTTTTTAGGAAGTGATACAAAATGTTTTTTTTTCTTGAACAGGATTTTTAACTCAATGAGACAGTGTAAACATCACGACAATTCTGGAATGTCTGAAGTTTGAGATAAAGATTGTCTAAGGAAAGCTAAGATGGTCTTAGCTGTTTATGTGTGGTATCCAAATTCCTCTGGAACATGGGCATCAGGAACCAAGCGATGCCCCTGCTACTGGGCAGAGTTTTCATATTTTACCTAAACAGAGACAAATGACGCTGACCTACTTTAATGAAATTTCAGAAAAACCATCTGGAATCAGCCCCATCATGTCCAGATTGGAAGGTGTTTGGGGATCAATGAAACATACCAGAAATACTCTTCTTCCCCCAAAAACAAATGTAATGAATGTCAAAGTATTGATGCTAATTTAGATTGTGATTACATATTAAGTTTTGCTTCATTAATCGTAGCACTGGCAGCTGTTTTGCAGAACACTGCATATTAAACTGTAGGCAGCTGACAACAAATATCAGTGGAAGGGGGTATTTAAAAGCCAGTTAAATTAATCATTGCTTTTTAGGAAACTGAGCCAAGATTAACCCCCTGGAGCTTTTACAGACAGACCCTCGCCAAAATCTCCCACAAGGAACATTTGTAGGCTATTTTGTTTTGAGATGTTAACCCATCTGTGATGTCTTGCTGACATTTTAGATTATATATACAAGCCCTATAATGAATAGCATTCACAAAATTTATGAGGCAAAAATTTAAAATTGTTCAAAAGCCTAATTTTTGCTGGCAACGTTTATCCATGAGAACATAGCAATTAGCCCGTTGCCTCTCCAAAAGAAACCCTACAACCCTAAAACCAATCCAAACTGTGTAATTTAGAAGAAATAGGTTTTCAGTGTGTACGACTGAAGAGTTCATTAAGGTTTTGCAGCTGGAGGTTTAAAAAATCCCACTTTTCGAAAATATCTGACAATCAAGGGCACAGAGACCAGCGTCATGCTGATTCTCACTGGCGCAAACAGCTTGTGGATTGCATAGGCCACCACAAAGGTACTTGTGCCTGCTGCCATTTTTGACTGTACCAGGGACTCTTTAAATCCGAGTTTCAGCAGGACTGCAGACATGTCCACACCACTAGGGGGGAAGAAGCAAAGAAAACAATTGTTACGGCAAAGGATTAAACGAAGAAATTGGTTTGATTATAAGATTTACAGTATTTTTAAAAATGTAATGAAGTAGCTGAATGAATAAAAGTCTTAGTGTCCAGGTGCAGTGGCTCAGGCCTATAATCCTAGCACTTTGGGAGGCGGAGATGGGAGGATCACTTGAGCTCCGGAGTTCAAGACCAGTCTGGGCAACATAGCAAGACCCCTGTCTCAACAACAACAACAAAAAACATAAAATCGGCCTGGCGCGGTGGCTCATGCCTGTAATCCCAGCACTTTGGGTGGCCGGGGGGCGTGGATCATGAGATCAAAAGATTGAGACCATCCTGGCTAATATGGTGAAACCCTGGCTCTACTAAAAAGACAAAAATCAGCTGGGCTTGGTGGTGTGCGACTGTAGTTCCAGCTACTTGGGAGGCTGAGGCAGGAGAATCACTTGACCCCAGGAGGCGGAGCTTGCAGTGAACTGAGATAGATAGCGCCACTGCATTCCAGCCTGGCAACAGAGCGAGACTCCGTCTCAGAAAACAACAACAACAACAACAACAAAAACCCCATAAAATCAGCTGGGTGCAGTGGTGCATGCCTGTAGTCTCAGCTACTTGGGAGGCTGAGGTGGGAGGATCACTTGAGTCCAGGGAGGTCGAGACTGCACTAAGCTGTGATCGTGCCACTGCACTCCAGCCTGGGCAGCAGAGTGAGACCCTGTCTTTAAAAAAAAGTCTTAGCAAACACGTTCTTATTCACCTAGAATCTTACATGACGGTAAAAACAAATATTAATTACTGTCAAAAATCTTACCTTGACACAACCATGTAAAATATGCCCAAGGAGATTAATGAGATTCCAATGTGCAGCGACACGCCGACAGTGCCATACTCTTGAAAAATCTTTTTCAGTTGCTGTGACTTGCTTTGCTTTTTCTCCTCTGTGCAACTGACGCTGCTGCCTGTTGTTTCTGTGGCCTGGCTGGGATCCTGTGTACAAATCAGAGAAGAGGGGATGCTTTAGGGCAGGCATGGGCAGTCATTACTGGGTTTTATACGAGCATGCAATGTTATACTCTTTCCTGCTGGATGAAAGATCAGTTACCCCTTTCCTTTTTTTTTTTTTGAGATGGAGTCTCGCTCTGTCGTCCAGGCTGGAGTGCAGTGGTGCAACTGAGGCTCACTGCAACCTCTGCCTCCCTGGTTCAAGGGATTCTTTTGCCTCAGCTTCCCAAGTAGCTGGGATTACAGGCGCACACCACCACACCCAGCTAATTTTTTGTATTTTTAGTAGAGATGGGGTTTCACGGTGTTAGCCAGGTTGGTCTTGATCTCCTGACCTCGTCGTGATCCACCCACCTCAGCCTGCCAAAGTGCTGGGATTACAGGCGTGGATCAGTTACCCCTTTCTTACTCAGTGAGCCGAGTTTGAGCCAACTTAGTCACGAAGTGCAATGCAAGCCTGGAACTAGGTATGGCTGGCAGAATGATGGCTCCAAAGATGTCCCAATCCCAGGATCTGTGAATATGTCACCTTACATGGCAGAAGGACTTTGCAGATGTGATTAAGGGTCTTGAGATAGGGAGATGATCCCGGATTACCTGGGCTACATTATTACCAATGTCATCACAAGGGTCCTTATAAGAGAAAAGGAGGCAGGAAACTCAGTGTCGGGGAGGGGGTTGTGAGGACAGAAGCA